GTTTCGTTTAGATTATGGAAATAAGCGAACTAGTGTTACCTTCTGCCAGCAATGTCCATCAGTCTCATTGCAATGCCTATACTTGGAAGCATTAACAAAGTTGTGAGGCCACTTATGAGGAATGATGCCGATTCTGAACCAATACCTAAATTTGATAGCAGAACTCCTACTCCTGCTTGTTCAAGAATTTGGGGAGTATAGTAGAGAACCCCATTTATACCAGAAAACTGATTAAGAAACAAGATGTGAGTAGCCGCGTGATCATCAACAACAACACTAAAAATTCTACTCAATCCAAAACAAGTTGACTCAACTATATGGATATTGTATATACATTTACACCATTTGGGCACATCTCACTCTACCACTCAATACGTTATCTTCAAATACAAATTAGGGGTTCTCCAAAACTCGAGGTTTTCTAACAAACGCTAAGACCACATGATCAAGATTCACTCCCAACTAGTTGATATTTGCTAATACGAATCTGTTCCTTCATTCTCTTATGTTCTTTGCTAAGTCCTCATGCGAGAAATGTTTGATTTTAGCACAAGACATGGAGGTAAAACAAGATCTTAGCAGAAAGTCAATGATTATGCAGTATTTAGATCTCAACACTGATTCCACATAATTGTGTTTCTTCTTAATAAGAACCAAGCTAAAAAAAGGTAAAATCTCTGATGGTTCTATTCATACTTTGGAGATATCATAAAAACAAACATAAGCCCCCTTTACCTGCTGCAGTATTTGAATTCCAACTCCAACTATGAGAGCATGCTTGACTCCCGGCTCAAAAAGAGCTCTCCAACCAATCGCCTTTGTAATAGGTCCAGTTTGTTTCTCTACTGCTTCCTCAATAGTCTGTTGAGCCAAGATGCTCTCTGTTCGAAGAACGGACTGACTCACTAAAGCAGCAGCATGTACGGTGTCACCTTCTCCATGAGCATCACAACCTGGAAGGGACATAATTGAACCACGCCTTGATCCAACACTAGCCTCTTGATGCAAATAAATCCTTTTGAGTGCTCCTTCCTTTTTCTCATCTTTTCTGTATGCTAGCTGCCAACCACCACCTATACCCATACTGGCATGTTCTCCAGCATTTGCAGTATTGTAACTGCTACCCTGTCTCATGCTTAATGAGGTTGGAGGCCCTTCTGTACCTGACCCTTGCCGTGAGAGCAATGGGCTCCTCAAATTGTCATCAGATTCTGCCCCAGAAGCATCAGAATGCTTGTCACCATCCCTTTGACTTTCTTCATCCCAGTTTTCGTGTTTTACTTGACTCTCTGATATATTGAACATGCTGCCAAAATTTGTGAAAAGCATGCTGCGCATACTTCCCATCTTTGGTAGTTTTTCATGACACTGCCAAATAGAGTGACCATAGGATCCATAAGAGCATTTTGGTTTGCTACACTCCCATGACGGGAGACCAGACCAAGAGTACTTTGTCCAGTAACAGGTTTGGCTATCCATGACTGACCCTCTTCAGCTCCATATAGCTTGATACGATCCTTCTCTACTGCATGCTCCTGGTTATCATCAAGTTCATCATCTGGACTGATTATGTACTCCTCTATAGAAACTTCGCCTCCTGCGCCTAAACCTTCCATCAGCAAGGCCATTTCACCTGCAAGCGGAAAGGATTCTCGTGCCCATTAGGATTCTGGTTACTTCAAGTGTTAAAAACCCAAGAAGTACCTTTAAGTTTGAAAAAACCTTATTTTACCTATCACCAAACCTTAATATTTTTGAGAAATAAAATACTTATCGTTCATAAATTGGAGATACTTGTTTTCCTGTAAAACTTGACTTCTGTCAGTAAGTTTTTCTGGAAAAAAATTTGCATTCAGAAAAAATAATGGCTGCTTTCATATAGAATTAAGTGACACATGAAAAACGAACCAATATTTTAATCTGGAGCTCATGAAAGTTTATTTCCTGAAATACAGTAGGCAAATAAATTGAGCAGAGTTGGACAAAGAAGGCTCTGCAATAACTCAATTAAATGAAATGATTCAATGTGGAAGAGTGGCATCTAATGTGTTTATACCGGTTGCATTTAAATCGATTTGAAGCTTGAGAAAAGAACAAATGGGCTTTAGTCTTTACAAAATCAACCGCAAATTTGAGCTTACAGCTTGCAACAAGATTCAACTTATGAATAGATTTCTATTATAAGCTTGAACTTAATTTGCAAATGGGGAAAGGATAGGAAGGGCAGGGCGTTCAAGAAAGTTAGCTCAAACTCTTGTAAGATTAAACTTAGGAGCAAACTTACAGAACTTAAGAAATAAGTTGTTTCTGTAAAGAAAAATGGTAGCTGGAGGCATACCTGAGACATCGTCCCTGCCACGTAGTCTCTGTAAAACTTTTTTGGCCTCTTTCATCCGACCTTTACTAACAAGCCACCTCGGAGATTCAGGCAAATAGAACAAAGCCAGAAAGAAATAAGCAAGAGAAGGAATCGAGAGAACCCCAAGCATTAGTCTCCAACTAGGTGACACTGTCAACGACATTGAAAAGACCATACAGTATGAGAGGAACATTCCAACACTTCCAGTGAACTGAGGGAAGGTATTAAGACGCCCTCTTATTTCTGGTGGGGCAGTCTCAGATATATAAACAGGAACAAGTGTTACAGCAAGACCAATACCAAATCCATCCAACAGCCTTGCTAGAAGCAACACATTAATACTTGGAGACCACAACATTACTAAACCACTGACAAAATAAAGGACAGATGAAATAATAAGCATTGGACGCCGACCAAACATATCAGATACAGGTCCAGAGCATGTTGTGATCACAGTCGCTCCAATTAGCGACATAGCAACAATTAGCCCTTCTATTCCTGCCTGGGTTTGCAAATTGAATTCCTTCTTGATGTAAAGAACAGCTCCTGAAACATATCACAAACAATAAACAATACCATGCCTTAGTGTTAGTATGTCCAGATCTTGCCAAAGTTGGAACATGTATGTAGCTAAAAACATGTGTCGTTGAAGTTCTGATGGTCACACTAGGAATCACTGTAAAGTGTAAATTCCCTAAATCGTCAACAGCTAAGCCTCACCACAACTCACAAGCAATATGAATTTCACACCTATCCATGTCGCTCCATTTAAACTCATTTTAATCCAGAATTTAGTACTTCTCTCTATTATAGACGATAAACTAGAAATAGAGACGCTAGAATTTCTCTTTATCTTCTATTAGCATGTATATCACAGACACAACAAAAAGTGCTAAAGATAATTTTTCTAGAGAACAGAAAACACACACACACGAAAAAAACGAACATGAGATTAAGCAGAAAATACCTGCTATTGTTGCATTGTCCCATCCTTGCAACAAGTTGCCAATGGCAGCAGTCAATGCAACTAGCACAGCTCCGTCCATCCTTAAAAAATCAAATCTTTTGCTTTATGTGGAAATAATGAACCCCAACTTCTCCTAATTGCAGAAGCACCTAAAATCAGAACACACAAAAGACAACAGCAATAAGAACAAACATATAGAAATCAAAGCCATAACCCCCCAATTATTCAGTTCTAAAAAACAGGATCATATTATATAACAGGAAGAAAGATCCTATAAAATGCTTCAAGAATCCTATATCTAAATTGCCACAAACTACTACTATCATAATTCCAGAACCCCACAACATAACAACCAAAAAAAAAAGTGCACTAAGTTGCCCCTACGCACAGGACGGTCTATTGCACGTAGCCTGTAGCCTTACCCTTGCAAAAATCTGTTTCCACAACTGAAATGAATGACAACAACTTTACCACTTACACATAAAACTAAAAATTCTCTCTTTAATTTACTTATACACACAAAAAAATGATTACAATACCTGGGAGTGAAAAAGAGTGAACACAAATACATGAAAGAATGAAACTTTTTTATACTTTTATAAAGTCCCAATATTTAATTTCTCTTGAGAAACAAAAAAAATGGGGTTAATGTTAGTATATAGACAATAACACCATATGATTTTTTTTTGTGTGTGTATTAGAGAGAGAAAAAAGAAACAACAGAAATTGCAGACAAAAGAGAGAGAAATATTGGATCTGTTAGAATTATATACTCTCACCATTACTTGGTTCTCATTATTTTACTCTTCCATTCATAGCAAAGATTCGAAATTTTCTGCGTTTACATTGTTCTAATTCATCTCTTTTGATGACAGTTGTCATTTTTCACTAATCATATGCATATTCCCTCTTCTTTCTTTTTGTTTATTTTATCTTTCTTTATTTTTATTCGGTTAGATCAACACATTTATATTAAAATTATATTTTCTATGTTGGAATATAAAGTTAATTGATTTCAAAATATTTGTAATAATTTGATGATTTTCTATATTATGGAGAAAAGAAATGTTATTTTACACTATTGAATTATATCAGTTTATTTGTCATGATTGCTGATATATTTGTTTTTTTATTAGAAAAAAAAATGAACTTTAAAAGGTGGTGTCTGTCAATGAACAACGTTACGTTAGTGCATGAAAATTGATCTGCTACGTGTGAAATACTATGTTAGTATTTCTTGGTCCCATGTGTTAATAAAGACTTTATATTATTTAATTTTTGGCTCTTTTAGGTCCCTCATGACTGCATCAGTGTCTGTGTAACTCATGCATATATGAGTTATTATATATTAATTGAATTGAATAATGTTCCATATAAGGTAGCACATGCATTACATGTTCATGTAACATCAATAGATTTTTCTTTTTCCACCATGTGGAACACATATTCAGCTAAAGGACTTTTATGATGCAATTCAATTGGAAATCAACCACAATGTACATTGTGTTACATGAGGATTTCATGACGTTCAAAGAAGTGAAGAGTTGTATCTCGTTCATCATAACAGAGTATAGGGTTAGTCTGCCATGAGTGAACAAGAAAAGCATCGACATTGATTATCATCACATTTTGCATCAAACAGGAGTTTCAACGATATCATAAACAAGTAGGAGGGTGTAGAACATAGTCTTGTGTACAAAATGAGGGTTAAGGCAAAACATCAGTGAATTCAAAAGGTCCACAAATGTTTCAAAAAATCAAAAATCATTTCATATTACTGTAGGTGTGGCTTCTCCTAAGTTGGAGCTGTAAGATGAATCAGGGATAATGTACATGCAAAAGTTTTGGCTGATGACAGTAGAGATTAGATGATACAAAAGAGTCATTTGCGGCACTCTTTTTACACAAGCATATGTATATTACAGCAACAGAATGGAACTACTCCACCACCTCTTTAGTTTGAACAGGATTGTGCTCACTACTTGAATGTGGTTGCTGCACCTGGGCTCTGTCATTACTGAGCACATTTTGGATAAATTCTATTAGAAGTGACAAAAACCATCATTATTTAGTAAAAGAGATGAACGCTCAAAATTTTCAGGACAAGAAGACTTCTTAGCAGATACTAATCTAATAAAACATTACAGTCTATATCTGCAGAATTTATAGAGTAACGTTGCATATTAAAGAATTTGTACTAGTGCAACAAAGATTCGATATGGTAATGGTGTAGGAAGAGGGAAGAAAGAGAAGTTCAAATCTCAACAATAACTACTAACATAGAGAAAAATAGTTATGCATTACTGAACTAACATAGGAAAGAAACTGAATTATTCCACTCACCATTCAAGCTCCTTTAGATCAGCTACAGCCCTCTCCAGTGCATATAAAGCCATCTTCTTCACCTAATACAAACAGCAAAAATGAAAAGTTATACTCCCGTGGCCAATACGGAAAACAAACTTCATAAACAAAAAGGAGGAATTTTAAGCAACAAAATAAAAAGATATAAATTTGTACTTCACATCCCCTCTTTTTTCCTCTCTTTTTTCAGTTTTGCTACTTCTCGATCAATTCGCCACCTAATTTCACTTTACAATGTTCTTCTATGGTCAGGTCAGCAAACAGCGAAACTAGTCCTACCCGCTATCTTAATTTATATTCCAGTTAATTCTCATCTAGGCCGCATAACCTCTTCCATAAAACTAAGACTAATAGATTGATTAGCTCAAGTACTACAACACATCTGAAGAGAAAATCAGTCTGCAAAATCTTTAATATTCAGTAAAACAATGCAAGACAAGTAGGATACGAGGAGAAGCTAACGAGAAAGAAACATAGTTAAATTCCTAAAATAACACCTTAGTTATCGATTAGCTCATTTATAAAACCAACTATGGCTAGTGAGGAAATGATTGACACATCCTCTTCTCCTACACATTGTCCTAGCCATAATGAAGAAAGAGTCACTAAGACTTTATCACTATTTTAAGCAACCTTAAATTAAGCATTAAGCAATCTTTTCTAAATTTTTGTGTAAAAGAGGAGCTAACAGCAACAAACTTCGTTAATGAGATGTCATACAATTGCAGTATAGGAGACTGCACATAGTCCACTTTAAAAGAATAAGACAGTACTTCTACAAAATCATACCCCAGACGTGCTTCTATATTCAAGTGAATAAAAACATATACAAAAAGAAAAGGAGAAGGAGCAGAGGTGGAAATGGCAAAACTTCTCATGGATTTCAACCGTTCCAACAAAATACCTATCATAGCTCATTAATGCATTCACAACAGGACCAACATGGGCTTAAATCCTTAAAAAACTCGGGAAATTACAAGATCACAAATGAGTCCAGGATTTAAAGCGTCAAATCCCATGAGACCGTCCATTCTTTTAAAAAAGGAAATAATCAAAAAAAAAAAACAGCTTGCAATTCCCTGTTTCGCATGTATGCACAGAATTCAAGCTTACAACAAAGCATATATCTCCAAAGATTTCCCTTTCTTTTTTGAATTAGTAATAACACTTGTTGAGCGCTGTAACTCCATTGAAGGAGTATCATATCAACAATCATTTTCTTAAGATTTTCTGGTCCATAACTCAAAATTAAAGAGTTACTGAAGATCATAAACAGAAGTATTTAGCATGTCTCTAGAATCAAGAAATAGAGCTCACCTCCAACTTGTCCTCTTTAGCCCTGTGTTTTTGGGGAAGCATACGAAATTCCTTGGTCAAGCGAATGCACTCGCCCACATTTTCAGGTGAAACAAAATCGAGAGCAACCTTTATACAAGACTTTAATTCCAAAAAAAGAGAGACAGATGAGATAGAATGGAAAACAGAATCATGATGTAGAATGAAGCAGGGAGACTTAAAAATTTATTCACATGTCCTCTAGGGTGTAATACCCAAGATCACAAAAATATCACCATATCACACAACCTTCTAGTTGAAATAGCAAGGAACAGTTCAAAGTGTAACTCACAAGTTTTTGTAAGAGATCTATCGTTGTAATATGCCCTTTTGATAGTTCAAGTAATGTAATGCAATTGATTCCACAAGCAAAAAGTAGCCTAGACAAATGAGCTACAAGAAACAATATCTGTAGCTATTTCTAGGTACATAACACTTGCTAAGAACCAAGAGATGTGATGCCTGTATGGTGTATGCAAGCTCCATCCTTGACATTTTGCATATAAAAGAAGATTCCTACTCTAAAATTTCAAAGGAGATCAGATGATTATAAGCAGACAGGTTAAGGTTCATGCAGCACGGATGTGCATGAAGATGAGGGGATAAACACCATATAGTTGTCTACCGAAATCTATCATACCAAACCTACAGTGAAAATTTTCCAAGCTTTTCTTGTGCCTTGGGTTTATTTCCCCTATTTCTTTGTGCATGACAGGACCTTTTTAACAGGTTGGGGGCTACTGGCGAAGCAAGCAATATGGTACAGGTGAACTCAATTAGGATCACTGTTAAGAAGTATATGGCATAAAAGTAACAAAAGATTACTGCACCTTCAGATTTCTAACTTGATGGGGACACCCAGCAGGAATGAGAACTGCTTCTCCAAGTTTTTGCACAAACGTCCAAGGTTCAATGCCTACAGTATGAAAATAAGTTACTAAGGTGAACACAAAATAGATGACATCTAAATAGGTATCACACTAACCAAAATCTTGCTTGAGTTTCTCCTTGTGATACGTGGTTAAGTAGAAAACTTGATCATGAATTGGGTGAACAACCTACAGAGTTGAATTAGCAAAAAAGCAATCATTAACTACTAACATTTCAATTAGATAAAATCTTAAATAATTTGGCAGCATCAGAATGTGTGTTCTACTAAAGACGAAACAAATAGACCAGAGGACAGTTGAAGAATTTGATAGACAACAAAGTTCTTGCACCTACATACTGCAGTTTACAGGTTAATGAACAGCAAAGTAAGCAAGATAACACAACTATCACCAGCCAACATGCACTGCCATGAAACTAATGCTCCTAAGCTCTATAATTGTACTTTGTCTCTTGTTTTTTGATGGATGTTCATTTGTTCATATGATGGAGAAGAAAAACACTGCATATTTATCTATTACTTATAATTGTGGAGTCTGGACAAGCTTGCATGAACCTCAACTAGTTCCACAAGATACATGGTCCCCACCACCACCACTAACATCAAGTCTCGGGTAACTTTGTCCGCCAAGGCTAAAACAAATAAATAGGAAGAATTCACATAGTGTTGTTTGTTGTCTGTATTGGGATTCAAACCTAATACCTCATGATTCTCAATCCACTTCATTATCCACTAGGTCATACCCTTAGGGTGCAATCACTATACTCCATATTGTATTTTGCTAGTGTCTCTCCCCAATGACAATCCTAAACAAGTAACTAAAGTTGAGTCAATATTGAAGTTCTTCACTTTTACGGATATGAATGTACTAAGGGAAATTAAGAAGACTTTCTCAATTTCTGTCCTTTGCTAGTCCTTCCAAATTGTTCCATCTCCACAAGGCACTTCACAAGCATATCATCTGCATACCAGGTGAGATACCTGTGCTTGTTCCCTATTTATTGCTGCATTGCCTTTTAGGAACTCACCTGTTGCTGCAATCTTCATCATCTTGCTAAGGGCTTCAACTATCGGTATGAGACAATACCCATGTTGCAAACCCCATGTACTTGCGAAAACACATGTGGGTTCCCGTGTGACCTATTTTGCTCTTTTGGTTTAATCCATAGTACTTCATCTCTTTCTTTAAATGATAAGTTTCTCTCTGTCCATCAATTCAAATAAATGCAACTAAAAGATACCATCAAAATTGACAAGACATTTTACAATTATCTATCCACTTTTTACACAAACTACTATTTCACTTTTCTCTACAAAACTATCAATTAAGATTGATTCAAATTCTTTACTTTAAAATAATAGTGCAGCACACATTATGGATTGAAGGAACATATTCTTTTTTCACACTTATGCGTTATGTTTCACATTAATGAGGGATATGCACCTGGTCCACCGGAGAACCAAGTGTATGCTTGAATTCCTTCTGATGCTCTTTAAGATAATCCTCGAGCTTGGGAACATCCTGTCTCCTAAAGATATCCCAGACTGCACCACCATTTTCTTCCTCTGGTCCATCAAACTTGTTTTCAAGATCAACCACCTGATCAGAAGATAAACTGCCCTCCAATTGCACATTCTCGTCAGAGGAAAAAACATCACTGGCTTTTTCTTGTTTTGCAGATGCAAAATCATTCTTACGAACTAGATGATCATCTGTATCAGTATTATTTAGTTCTTTTTGATCATCTGAAGCAGAAGCTTTCTTTTTCTTCAGCTCATCAATTTTTGAAAGCTGCCACTTAGTAATAGTAACATCAGCAGTATGCATTAAAATATTCACCTGCAACATCAAGAAAATAGCAAATTAATTTTTACAATTAAAATAATACTGGAAAATGGTGTGAAATTATATTAAAAAGGTAATTTTTAAGTTCTTCCGCATTTACACAAATATACCACCATGTTTAGGAAAAGGAAATCCCAAGGGTAATTAATGGCATCAAAGGTCAAGGCACAAGGGTAATTAATGTGCTGGAAACCAACTATTAACTATTAATGCATACCGCATCAGACATATCACAATGAAGCTTTGTAACGGAATCTCCATGTCCAAGTTCTTGAGCAAATCCATATGCTATATATGTTTTTGGACCCAGATCTGGCTTCAGTATACCATCTGGAAGTTTGGAAGCAACATTAAGAATACCAGAAAGGGGATGTGTGTATTCTTTGTACGGCAAGGCTCTAATGAATTCTGCTCCATGGCGTGGCAACCGCTTCTCGAATTCTGTAGATGGGGGCCAGTCCTTAAGCTTAAGCATTTCGGGCCACGAATCTGGGTGTGCTCGACCTTCAACATAACCCCTAAAAAATTGACGAATATTTATATCCACCTGAAAAACATGAAGACAAAAGACAAGTTTATTTCAGCGTTGACAGAAAGACACATTTTAATCAGCTAGATTAGAGCCATGGTGACTCTGTCAACCAAGTATCATGAACCCTCTGAACCAACCATATCATATTTCAAGTGAACCTAGCATCAATTCACTGATTATCTTTTTATAGGTAGACCATGCAGTGTATAGTTTTCAGTCTCTCCAACGAACATTTCCCTCCCATTTGATGCATTAACTCTCAATTTGGGACATCACAAAATTTTATATACTCTAAATTTGATATTACTGGTAGGCAATAAAAGGCTAGCAAACAGTATTTAAACATTTGATGAGATGCTCTTTCTGCTCTTACCAAATGAATCTTTAGAGGCAATAGCTTTTAATTACTGGACCAATTTATCGACAATGGAGTCTATCTCGCCTCAAGTTTATACATTTCAATTTCAGGCTTGAATTAATCAGACAACAGCCAGGCTATGACATTGGAAAGCTACATTATATTCTCTAAATATCATTATGTGGCATCAACATGGAAGGTGTTAGCTAATTGCATCCAAGGTATAAATTACGAACTCAAATCACTGACTGATATAGTGTACATGAAAGGACATCTACAGCCAGAGAGCACTGCACATAATAGCAATAACACATAGTATCTATGAGACTCTTCAAAGACCTCGAAAGAAAACGAGAAAAGGGATTACATGATTGTAACTGGGTTACTCACAGACTAGAAATTATCTCTCATAGAAAAAACTGCGCTTGCACAATATAGTGCTGTAATTCCAGAAAATACTACTCATTTTGGTTATGTGCTGCTTAAACTCTAAAAGTTTTGTAGATTAGCAAATCAAGCACACAAAAGATTACGACTTCCAGTAGAACAGGAAATAAAAGAGAAGGGACCATCAAGATGATGCACCTCACACCAATCACAACAATCAACTGCTGTCACCATCAAATCTGATGAGCCCTTCTTGATTGCTATATTACGGAAGGCACGCCACATCACCATTGGTTCCCAGCTTAATCCAGATGTTAATTCAAGAACGTTGCTTACAATAACAGGTTCTCCCATTCTCCAATGTTTCTGGAAGTGCTCCAGGTGCCCTTCCTGTATGTCACTTGAAGGGCAGAACAAATAATTGTCATCAGAATCTGATCTGGAAGCTGCTTTTCTTCTATTATTAGAGTTACAGGTACACTGTTCTTCAGTGGAGTGGGCCTCACTGGCAGATGAATTTGCTTTGACTAAGTTTTCAACTTCCCTCATTATCTGTTCAACCTGCTTTTCATCAATGAGACACTTAAGCTCCAGGCGGTTATTTCCACAGCCACCTCTTTCCTTTGGTGGGCAAGGTATTTCACCAGTTTCTTTTGCTTTCCATTCAGGGAGCCTTCTGTCTTCATCTGCACAATCAGCATTATTCATCAAACTAGAAGAAGTTTTATAAGGTGAACATGACACGAGATTTCCTCCTTGCAGGTAAAGTTTTTTATCTATTATGAAACTAAACAAGTACCACTATCTCACCTCTTAGAAAACAGCCTTCTCGAATTTCCTGACAGCAGGTCAGACAGAGATCATAAGAACAAGTTGTACAATTTCTATGAAGATCAACAATGGAGGTATTGCAGTTGTTGCTGCAATAAAAGATAGCATATTAAGTCAATGGGTAAGACAACCAGAACCAAGGGAGAAAATGAGCAAGTCAAGAAAGGGGCATACCAATAAACACGCTCATCCTTATAAAGGAAGGCACTTGGTATTCTTAGCCGTTTCAGTGACGAACCTGCACCATAGCCACCATTTTGACTGAATAAATGGGTAACTACTTTGAAAAGTATGAAATCACTAGAAAATAGCAGCAGATAGCGAGTTAAACCAACAAATCACAGGAAGTTCCCCACCTGCAGAAAAGACCAAAATTTCTTTTACATCATGTAACTTAATCCACCTCACGCTTAAGACCTCAAGGAAACAGGAATTATGCTTTGTTTCAAGCTGACTATGACATATAAATGGAACAAAATAACTTTCCAAGTGAAGTCACATTCTATTGTAGTTATTACAAAGAAAAGTATCTCCTGCATTGGTTAAACACTGCATCCTATTTGAAAGGCTTCCCAACTATTTGGTAATAAATCAGACTCCTTAAAAAGGTGATAAGATTTAGTGAAGTGAATTCAAGTTACTGCGTAATGGACTTTGGTCTAGCCTCTTAATATATCTTAAAGCTACAAATGCCTCCACTATAAGCATGATTGCAAAAAACTTGTATACAAAGTTCAACCCAAGAAGGAGCAAATAATACCTCAGAACAAAGGCATTGTGCACAAATAGCAGCAGATGGAAGGCAAAAGTCACTAAAAGGGTATGCATATATCACCGGGGAATCATTTTAAGTACAGAAAAAGAGCGGTACACATAATACCTCTAATTGATGTCTCCATCTCCTTTTCCATAGTCTGATCATGGATAAAAGTTTTCAAAAATGGGTAAAGTGCATCCACAAGATACTTCAAGCAATTAATTCTTTCATTGTTTTCCTGTGGTATTCCTAAATATTTTGCTTCCTGTAATACAAGGAGAAGATAATGCATCAGCATTCTGCAATCACACTTCACAAGCCTGAGGTATGTAGTAGAAAGTGGAACGTAGTAATATATATGTGGCAAAATCTAACCTTAGGAATAATGTTTTTGCGTAAACAATCTTTGCAATTGCAGTTCCCACGACAAACGGGGCATTCCTCGGCAATTGCTTCCTCTGACAGATGAGGGTACCTACATTCGTGGTTCGAATGAAATATGTTTGCAGATAGATCATTAACCAATATAGAATAAACATATGTGTGCGGGCAGGTTTGCTACTCGATTAGCTAACAGATTCTACATTCAGAGAGGGGCTTGCTCAGCAGTACTTCTTTTGTCATTAATTACAACAGTTTCAAACGAAAAGAGGCCCCTGACTAGCTTTTTACCTAATTTAAATAAATAAATTCATAATGTAGTCAATGGCAGGGAGATGAGAAAACATTAGAAATAGCAGCTGCTAACAAGTCTAATCCATCTTTCAAGCTAGTCGTAAGAGGTGGATTCAAGAAAGATAATTACAATTTCACCCTGTGATGAAAAGAAAATTCATTGGCATTCTACTAAGCATCTCTTCGCATGCATCCCCTCAGTAAACACTAAAATATCCTGTAAACGGAACAGCTGATCCAGAAATACGGAACATTGACACCAAAAAGAAGCTTCTTTGACTTCAAAAACAGATTTGATTGAGTAAACAAGAACAGTGAGAAACCCTCAAAAGGTAAAACCAACAAATTATTACCATCTTTTAATACATGGGCTGCAATAGCGTTTACCGCATCTTTTTCCACACCTCGCAACCTTTCTATCACTTTTCATGCACTGATGGCACATCTGGCAATCATCATATGGGTCCTGCTTAGTAAAATAATGTCAGGTTACGCTCATTAATTACAGAAAAATTACATCTGGATTTGAGCAAATGAATCTCACATCAGTACTGAAATGCTTTCTCCTTGGATCAGGCTTCTTCTTGTCCTTTGGATTTGTGCAATCATTTTGGTCACATTCAACCCCTTTCTTCACCACTCTACTAACCCTCCTCTCCCCATCCTCTTGTGAAACCATTTTTATTCCCTTCGAAAAAGACTTTTCAGGAGATTTGATCCATTTAGAACAAGGTTTCTCCTCATTGCCACGCTTTTTCTTTTTGTCACCCTCACCCTCTACTACTTCCCTCGGATCACCTAAACTAACAGGAACAGGCTTATCGTCCTCTGGTTCACTTAAATCATCAGAATCACTCGTATCGCTTCTCGCAACGTATCTTTTTCGCCGTTTTTCTACTCTCTTGACGACAGAAACACTAGCGGATGCACGGTGTAAATGCTGCTCACACATGGATTTACCTTCAACCTTAAAACCTTTGCATCTCCATTTCTTTCCATCTGATCTATGGCAACGGAGATCATCCGCCGGTACCGAGGAACGTTTCTCGCCGTCGCCATGATTCCGCTTAGTCATTGATCTACCTTGTGGTTTTTTAGGTTTGTTTTTTTAAGAGGGAAAACTGTAAAAGCAAACGGTTCAATAGTTGTTTTTGTTTCGTGTGTATGTGGGGATTTACAAAGAGAACATTCTTTGGTAACTACTAAGGTTTTGGAGTTCCGTGAACTCTAAAAGAGGGTCCCACCATCTTTTTTACAGAAGATTTTATTAGAATAAAAAATATTTTTAATTCGAAGATCGAACTAATTATTTTTCATACTTTTCTTCGTAATAAATATAAATAATCTTGTCATTCATATTAGTTAATAAGTCATTTAAATAATATTGACAAATAAATAGTATTTAATAGCAATAATAAAATAGATATGTTATAAATTCATCGAATGAGTGGATAGTCCATAAGGTTGGTACATGAACAACCATTCATATTCACTAGGTTACATGAACCTTTTTGGATAAGAATGTATCTATTTATTATGATATTTAATATGGTGACCTTTGGAGTGATTTCTCACTCTATAAATAGGGTTGTTCATTCACTATTGTAATAGATACAGATGACACTTAAATACACTTGAATAAGAAGAAAATTCCCCTTCTTCTATCTACTTCTCTTGTCTTCTTCTCTTTATGATTATATTCTTATGAGCTTGATTTTATAACACGTTATCAGCACGACTCTCTATCAAATTGAGAGTGCGTTCTTGTTTTTCTTTAGCTCATATTTTGGTTGATCTCGTTATGAAGATCAAAGTATTATATGCATAAAATCAGGTATGTATTTTCTAGAATATTTTATGATTTAGAATAAAAATAATATTCAGTCATTAACAATTATCAAGAACCGAAGACATATACTACTATTGGTTGAATATAACATGCTATACAAAACTTCTTAAATAGAAGAAGGTATAAAATTTTAATAGCATGAGTTTGAATGTTATTTTGATTGTTTTGAAAGACTGAAAGGGTGAGTCATGTTGTACTTCGGTTTATTATACCATTGGTTAAGGGTAAGACGATGGATTCAAGTTTCATCGCACCAAAAGGGTAAGACATCAGGTTAAAGTCCGGATGCACCATAATAAAAATATTTGAGGATAAGACGATAGATTTAAGTTCTATCGCACCAAAAGGGTAAGACATCAATTTGAGTTTTGATGCACCGTGATTGGGTTCAAGTCCCATAGAATTATGGCATAACACGCCTTATATGGATAAGACATTGAGTTTGAGTCAATGCACCATAGTGATGATATAATGATGACTAAGACTTTGATGAAAAGTCTTGAAATTCGTCCTATTGAATTGCTCCATTCCTTGAAAAAAATGTGGTAGCAACATATGATAATTTTAAAATCGCATGTTCACTTGCTCCGTTCTATCATATGAATGTGGTAGCAGTAAATAGTTCTGAAAGATGACAAATGATTAACAATATGAAAAAGAGCATGAAGGGACGGAATTATAATAGTCATTATTGTAGTGATTATAAAAGGAAGAACACTATGAGTTCTTCAAATAGTCCTTCAAAATGTGAAGGCAATTTTTATTATCAAAATGGTATGAAAGGTCATTAGACTTGTGAATGTTGTCAACCCAATAATTTGACAAATTTATAAATCCTCTATCATGATACAAGAAGATAAAGTGATGGTACACTTAATCTTTCAAAGTGATGTTGAGGTGTGTCATGGAAATATGATGAATTTTAAAGCCATGACAATGTGCTTATAATGCAAATTTATGAAGTACATATAAATAATTAGTCCAATCCTCGAAGAGAATGTGACTTGTAATGAGTATCGTGAATGCTCGACCATTCTACAAGAGAATGGGTCCAGATGTGATAAAATCATTATGGGTTGGATATATGTCACAATTCACCTCTATGGAAGGTTTGAAAAAAAAATGATACATGTCACTTCTCATCTCTACAGGAGATTTGAGAGGAAATAAATTTTATTCGGCAGAAATGGCTAATTGTATTGTACGTTTTATACGTCACTATGTTATAAACTACTGAAAGGGCAAAAGAAAGAAATAGTTCTTGCCTATAAGGGTTGTGGTCATTATTGTGTGGCAATACAAATTTGTCATTGGTTGTGTACCTATGGTACAACAAAAGTAAAGCAAGAAAGGCGTCTTGCTCGTAATGATTTTGACCATGACAATAATAATATAATTTTCTCCTTGAAGGAGATGCTCACCATAGGGATGGTGTCATGCAATATGTCATAGTACACAAAATTAATTGCAAGCTCTAACGAGTTGTGCTATTATCAGAGGAATAATATTGGGGTTGTAGTAAGTCTCAAAAGAAACTTTTTAAGTTTCGGATGAATGAAAATAAATATTGAGACTATAAATCACTACAACCGAAGAGGGTTATAATGTTTATGTAAAATATTACCCCACTTTTCCTCTTGTTTGTTCCATACAAACATGTACATGCTGATGAAATCACATGTAAAAGTAAATTATAAGTGTACTAAAATAAAAATCAGTTGGCATGACTGGTTGACCATTCCGATTAAATGTAATGCAAGCGTGATTGAGAATTCAGGTGATTTATATGATGAAGAAATAAAGATTCTTCAAGAATTCTCTTGTGTTGCTTGTTCTCTTGATAAAATGATCATTGTACCAGCTAAGGTCGGGACTGTAATCCCCTAAAAATTTTTGGAACATATAAAAGGGTGAATATGGGTCTGTTCACCTGTCATGTGGATCATTTGCAACTATATGATTAATGCATCTATGCGATGGTCACATGTATTTTGTTGTCAACTTACAAATTGGTTTTTGTAAGGTTGTTTGCTCGAATTGTTAAAATTAATAGCATAGTTCCAAATTATGAAATTATATTGATAATGCTGGTTGATTTAGCAGAAATTGTATGCCTCCAATTATAGCTAAATCATGGTTATGAGAACAAAACTCCCAAATAAGATTTGGTATGAGATAATTTTGTTTAACATGTAGCAACACATGTATGCATCAAACCAACAAGGTTTCCCCATTAAAATTGGTTCAGGGTCAGGAACCATATAATTTTCATCTAAATTGTTGAATGTGCGGTCATGATTTTAATTGCTCCACCACGCACAAAGATGAACTTCCAAATAAGGTTGGAATGAATGTTAGATTTTCTAACATTAGGGGGAGAGATGATTGATAGCTGAAAATTATGTGTGAGGTTAATTATAAATTATCTAGATCCTCGTTAAATAAATATGTGAACTTAAAGTTCAAGGGATAATTCAGTTGCATAATGTTGCAAATCAGTTGTCAGATGAATGCACTGACCCTATGATATAATTCAGTTGCGAATGCTCCAATGTGAAGTCCTTGAAGGACAGAGTCTATGATACGCCGAAAGCGTAATAGACCAATTGATTCCAAATATAAAATTCCTTAAAGAAGGAAGGAGCAAATGATCAATATGGTCATGATAATGAGGCAAGTGCTATAAAAGAGCACATTGACATAACACTTCATAAAAAGGTTCAGGTACCTGATAATAAAAAATGAAGAGATCTCGATAAGTTATGTCTTGTTGGAATCGATATCAAATAACCGTCGACGGTATCTTTGATATGAGGTAGCGCTCAATGATATAAATTGTGACGAGGATCTTGAATTCAAATCTGTCATATAGTGTGGACAGATAAATGGTTGGCCAAGTAAAATGCACAATTCAAGTATATTTTGTTTCACTTAGAAAAGTGACATTTTGGACTGGTAGTCCATAAATTAAGGTATAATGTCAGTGGGGTACAAATAAGTTATTATGCGATAGTATAACCGTAAGATATCAAATACAGTTTGTGCCTTAGGGCATAAAAGTTTATCGCAAAAATCCTGACATTAGTGGAGATGTTTTCTCATTTGGTGGATGCAATGAGGTTTGTTTTGATCTGGCAGCAGATGAAAACTTGAATGCATGTAAATGAATAATTGTAATGTCTAGCTAGACAATGAATGTTATATGAAAATCCTTGAAACAATCGAGGTGTCTGAAGCATATAAGAGTTTGAAAGAAACTTTTCCAATAAAGCTTCAATAATCCTTATATGGATTGAAATAGTCAAGGAAGAAAAAGGGTACAAAAGAATGACCCTAATTGTCCTTGTATTTTTATGAAAAGGTCTTGGTAAGATAAAATTTTGTCTTGACCTACAGATTGATAATTTGACAAATGAAATATTTGTCTAACGGTGCACATACACTGAAAAGTTTTGATGCAATTTTATATGGATAAATCGCATTCATTGAGTACCCCAATGATTATGAGATCACTTGACATAAATGATGATTCAGTTTGATCTCAAAAGAAGGATGATAAGTTTCTTGGTGATGAAACTCTATCTTGGTGCAATCAGGGCACTAGTGCATCTTACTAACAATATTTGACTAGATATTTGTTTTGCAGTAAATTTACTGGCAAGATTCAGTTTCTCCCCGATAAAAGGACATTGAAATGGTGTTGAACACATGATTGAATATCCTCGAAGGACCATAGTTATGGGCTTATTCTATTCCGAGGAATCCAAGACAAAATACGCAGATGCAGAATATTTATCTGATCTGCATAAAGTTCTATCTCAATCATGCTATGTGTTTGCACGTGGAGGCACAATAATATCCTGGGGATCAATAAAGCAAATGTTGCTCTGCAGAAATAAAAGTCCTCCATGAAGCAAGTCAAAAGTGCGTCTGGTTGAGATAAATGACACCATATTCAAGAAATGTGCGGTTTTTCTTTTTTCTTTTTTTAAAAAGAATATACCAACCACAATGTACGAAGATTGGAGACATCATCACAAGAAATTAAGTGATGTTTTAATCAGGGGAGTATAATACGCGTTGCACTCTTTTTCCCTTGATCGAGGTTTTTTCCCACTGGGTTTTCCTGACAAGGTTTTTAATGAGGCAACAAATGGTGCGTATCAAAAGATATGTGTACTCTTTTTCCTTCACTAGAATTTTTTCCCACAGGGTTTTTCCTAGTAAGGTTTTTAACGAGGCACATTATCTATGGACATCCAAGGGGGAGTGTTATAAATTCATAGAATGAGTGGATAGTCCATAAGGTTGGTACATGAACAACCATTC